ATGTGTGAGTGAGTGAATGCTTGCCTGTCTCTCTATACACATGTGTGTATGTGTGTGTGTGTCGGTTTTTATGGGTTGATCAATGCAGATTGACGTGCTATTTGGAGCGGCCATTATTCATTTCTCTCATTTCGAGCCACAACAACAAGCACAGCTGCTTAAGCTTCGGTTTCAAGACTCTGAAGGCAGCAAAAGTGTATTTAATATTATATAATAATCAAATTAAATTTATGTTGGAGCCGACGGTCTTTAAATTCTTAGAATATTTAATATTGGAGAAATTGTTTTAAATATTCGAAGTTATATTTTTAAACCTCTTGAAACTATTAAAGTCAAGCCTCTTAAATGCTACAGAAGATTAAAAATATTTTACTCAGATTTACATATATTCGCCAATCTTACTTTTATTACGAATAATTTTTATTGACTTCAATTTTACAATTACAATTTATTCAACTGAATCAATTTAATTTTGTTCAATTTACAATAATTCTATGAACACAGTTCCATTTGGTTGCCATATGGAAGAGACGGCTGTTTTATATCGGCAAGACTTTCAGCATATATTTAGGAATGATGTGCTTTATAATACTTCTATTATCTTATGTAAATGCTCTGCTCAGCACTTTGCAGTTGTCTTCAAATTGTTTTTTGGTGTCTTTCAACTTGATGTCGAATCGATTTTTGTATTCGAATTTTGCCCCAGCTTCGCCTCCCTGTTAAATGAAATGTTCATGTGCGCTACGTCTTCCTCCTCTCCTTCTTCTTCGTCTTATTTCGCTTTTTGTTTTCGTTTGGTTTTCATGTGCTTTTAGCTGCCTTGTTGTTGTTGTTGTTGTTTTGTTTTTGAAGGAATTGGCACTTAAGTTACTCAAGTGGAAAAAAGTTTTTGTTTTTCGTTTACTCGATATAACTATATATATGTATATATACATATAAAACGAACACACACACACACCATGCAGACACAAACATCATGCCACATTCTGTTTCAAGTTTTGCTTGGGGTTCTCTGTGCGAAGGGCTGTCAGCTGGATTTCTTCATGGGGGAATTCTTGGATCTCTGTGCGTTATTTCTGTTATTTTCATGTGTTTTTCTTCTTTTTGTCTTCTTTCTGTTCTCTTTATTTTTTGTTTTTTGGTTATTTCGTTGTTGTTTTGCTTTCAGTTTTGTCGCTGTTTTGTTTTTCCAATTGAAGGCTGACAGCAGCAGCAGAATGAAAAAATTCATTATGAAATTGGATCGCCGTCAATTCAACGAGCGACAACTCGTTGCCCACTTTTCTAGGTCTCTCGCTTTAATGTTTATTAGATCTAAATTGCTAACACCTGTTGTGCATATTTTGTACGCCCTTTTCCATAATTTCTTTTCATTTTTTTGTTTCTCTTTTACCTGGACTTTTCACATCAACATTTGCCGCTACAAATCGCAGCTGCTCGGCTCGAGTGAAGTGAAAAGCGGCGGAGAGATTCGAATGCTATGCAGTCGAGTGTGCGCTTCAGTGGCCACCCGGCTCCAAGAGCTGCGGCTCAGCCCCTCCACTCGACTCAGTTCCACTTGCCGCAGTTCATAAATTAAAGTCAAAGCCGCCGCCGCCGCCGCCGTCTCCGTCTCCGTCGAGGCCTTCCGCGGTCCGCAGCTTCAGCTCCCAACTCGGTTAGCTAGTGATGTGATAATTGCGGCTTGGCTTATTTTGTTCGCCATTTAATTGTTGTAATTTGTGCGTTTGCCGCTGCGGCAGCTACTGCTATTATTTCGTTTTCTTCTTCTTCTTCTGCTGGCTTTTGCGCGTCGCTCGCCTGAAGTTTTCCCTTTTCATTTTCAAGCCAATTTATTCGAGTTTTCGCCTCGAGTTTAGCGAAATTGTTCAACAAATTCTCGCTGGCACGCATTGCTGCATGCAGATACTTAGACACACACACACTCACACACACAGTTGGCTGGTGGCAATTGCAATGAATGTTGTTACTTCAGCCTCACTTGCACCTTTACGGTTCGTGGTTTGTGTCTAAGCTTTGACGTGCACTTCCTTTTCATGTTTGCGGAAGCGTGACACAAAGCAAAAGCCGGCAAAAAATACAAATGAGAAAACATGTAGAGAAAAACTACAGCATGTAAAATAACAGCATTGGGCCAGGCATATGCGATGCTCAGCAGCTGGGACAAAATATTAATAAATTTCTACAAATTGTGCATTAAAGGCCAAGCTGAATTATTACATTCCATATGAACTGCAGAAATTATGGCACACGTTTCTTGGCTCACGGTGTTCTATAAAGTGATTTTTATTATAATCAATGAATATTTGAATTTTAAATATACTCAAAGACCGTAACACTGAATATTGTATTAAATTTATAAGTATGGCATAAATATATAAAGACAATATTTGTTTTACAGTGGAGATCTTCATTTTGATTGCAACCCTTTTCATAAATTCATAAATAGGAAAATATATGGAATCAAATTTCTAATGAAATTATATTTGCAATTCATTAAGGTTATTATATTTTGTTGTCATTTAATCGAGAATGTGAAAAATATCAAATATAAATTGTTAGGCTATTACTATATTTTATATAAATATTTTAGTTTGCTTTTAATGTATTTATTTTATTTTAGTTGAGTCTTATCACATGAAAAAAAAATTATAATAATGAAATAATAAATAAATTCAAAAAAGATTAAATGAAATAAAACCAGTGAACTGATTTTAAGCAAAAGCTTCCACAAAATTTACTTATAGATTTCTCTCTTCTTTATAATTATATATTTATTTATTTTTGTATTCCAACTATTACTGAAAGCAGTTCACTCATTTCTTCAACATAAGCTTAAGTATTTAAGCCAATATTTCAATATTTTTTGTTTTAATATTCGAGCATTACTTAATTGAACCAACACACACACACACAACGACAACAACTCTCAAACATTTTGAAGATCAACTGTCATTGACATTTCCTGTGAGCAAAGCCCAACTTGAGCTGCTTTTTCGCAGGCTCTGGCAAGCTAAGGCCAAGGCTGCGCTCTTAATCTACACTTTATACATATATACATATATAAGCATAAAGCACACAGCTCTACAAGAAAAGACATCTAAAATAAAAACAAAACATATACGAAACACAGTCGAACCAAAAAAAAAATAAAATGCTCGTGTGCTAAATTCCCTAGCGAAGGTTCCAAGAAAAACGAAAAAAGAAAAAATTATTTTGTATAAGAGTAATGCGTATATATGTATATATAATATTTATATGTGTATAACTATATATGTATGTATTTGTTACCGAGAACATTTAAAGAACCTCGGAGACCGCAAGAGAACTTTGACATTTTCCTTTTTGTGATCAACGTCTCCGCATCCGCAGCCGCTGCCCCAGCCCCTGCCCCTGCCACTGCCTTCCTCCTGCTCCTCCTGCTCGACTCTGTCATTGTGCAGAACGTTTTCATGTTTTTGAGCGCAGAAGTTTTTGGGATTATTTTTGTGCGACTTTTCGGGCATGTGAGAAGCTGAAGCTATAGCCAGAGCTAAAGCTAAAGCTAAAGCCCCGAAGTTGATGCCAAAGTTGAGGTTGACTTTTTGACTCTTTCGCAGAATAACATGGACTTTTGTTTCATCTTTTGCTGTGGCCCCTGCGGTTGCTGTTTGCTAGAGCAGCGCTGCAGAGCTGTCAGCCGCCGGGTTTGCATGTCACCGGCTGAAGACCCCAAAAACCGGCCATTGTTGTTTTTTTCTTCTGTTTTGTGTTTTGTTCTGGCCCATTTGCCCCCGCCCTTCCCATACGCCCGCCCCTGACCTAGGCCTCTTTAACAGCTGCCATAATCGCGCTAACAACAAGCTGACCTTTGTTTGTGTGTGTGTGTTTCTATCTCTATGTGTGTGTGTGTGCGCCTACTTCAGTTGCAGGACATTGAAGTCGTTGACGTTGGCTCCTTATGCCTGCATTTGTGTTTGATTGTGTCCCCAGCGAGGCTCTTGGCCATAAATCAAAGTCGCCAAACTACAGCAAAGTGTCGGATGTCTGAGTTTTGCAAATTACTTGGAAGTGTGCCCCATGGCCAAAGCCATTGCTCCGCTCTGGCCCCTGGGAATCATCCAACTCACACACACACACAGACACACATATACTCTAATACATGCTAGGACCCTAGCTAAGTGGATCAACATATGTGGGTGTTTTCTTGTTGGCTGAGACCCATCTCAATGCGTGAGAAAACAAAACTTGAGTAAAAACTATTTTTACTTCAGTCAAACTACGAACTGGAAAATATTTATTTTGATCGTTTCCCTTTTTGGGCAGCAGAGATTTTAAAATATATATATTTTTGTGAGAGACTCCTTAATGGATGGAAAATCCAGATTTTTTGTATGAATCGATAATGTGTCAGTTTATTGCATTGTATTTAATATGTTTATTTATGCTATAAAAAAATTGAAAGATATTAAATATAAATATTAAATTAAAATATAAAATATATATCATAAAAAAGTAGATTTAAAGTTGGATCACATATATTTTTCTGTTTTTATATTCAATGAAAGTTTCTCATATGATTTAACTATTTATTTGAAAAAGGGCTTATTGTTGACTCTAAAATTATTTGTTTTACTGGCCATATGCATGTCAATTAACTTTTACTTAACATAGAAAAAATATGTACCTAAAAAGTACATAAAAAACTAAATATATAATAAATTTACATTAATTCTCAAGGATAAATACTTTGAATTTTTTTCTAGTTGAATTGTAACCTTATGATAAATAATGCCTTATACTTTCATATATGCATAAATGAAAAAAAAAAATAAATAAATAAAATAAAATGGAAAAATATAACAAATAAAATGTACGCTAGTGCTTAAATGGCAATTGATAAATATATATATATATAATATATTTATTTATATATGTATATGTTTTTTATTTGCATTTTCCCGCATTTCAATTCTTTGTTTTGCTGGCTTGAAAATATGCGTAGGCAGAGAAAAAAATGAAAACAAACTTTGATATTGGTATCGAGGCAGTTTCACCATCCGGAAAATTAAGCTAATCAGTTGCTCGGCTGGCGATTATTGAGGCGCCTGCCTCGAGTCGAAGAGCCGAGCCGGGCGAGCAGAGTCAACAATAAATAAATAAATCAAATCAACAGAAACGAAAAAGAAACAAAACAAATATCGAGTAGAAAAACTTGCCAAGTGATTTGGATAAGTTAAAAAGCCAAGAGCGTGGGCTCGCTGATATTTGGAGACTCAGAGAGCCATAGACGTGAGGCGCGAGGGTGGCTACAGCAATTGGCGGGCAAATATTTGACATTTCTCCAACGGCCATAAATCAGTCAGGGAGCGTGACATGATTTCTGTGCGCCTTTGTGCTCATAATTAGAAAATTAGTTGGAAACCGAAGCGGCTTAAAATTGCGAAATTGTTGTTGTTGAATTTGTTTCTGGGGCTCGCCTTGAAGTGGGTTAAGGGATGGATGCCTGGGAGCTCTGAGCTGTTGGCTGGGATCGTAGCTAAGTGCTAAGTAGTTCCAGCACGCGGCTGACAAGGAGGCTGCAGCTGGAGCTGACTGACAACGGCGTCGGAGTCGGAGTCGGGGCCGGAGTCGGCGATGGTGCTGGCAGCCACTTTGACAGACTATTATGCGGGAAAAGGTTTCAGTCACTTTCTACTGTGACGGGGGGCGGACGTAGCTCTGCAAAGATGTTCGGCGCTCGCTGCGGAACTGTCATTTCCGTTTTACTTGTGAAACGAACATGGAAGTATTTGAGGCAGCCGACAAAGTGGCGTACAGGCGGACAGACCAAACCAGAGCAGAAGACCTGGCAGGAGCACGAATGCGAATGCTCGAGCAGGAGCAGCAGGAGCAGCAGGAGCAGCAGTAGCAGCTGACGCTGACTTGTTATATACTAAACTGCTGCCTGAGACTCTGAGACTCAGAGTCTGACTCTGACTCCGGCGCTGACTGAGAGTGGGACAGGCGAACGGAAGGATGAACCAAACTGGCAGACAGACCAACAGACAGACACAAGGGGGAAGGGCACTCGAACTCGAACTGAAACTGAAACCGAAGCTGAAACTGAGAATGGGACGGACAGCATTGCGTTTAACGTATTTCGCAAAAGTTTCGGTTTCGTGTGTTTTCGCAGCTCGTCCAAAGGAAATTGCCAGCAGCAGCAGCATCAGCAGCAGCAACAACAGCAGCCTGAATGTTGATGGGGGTATAGGCAGGAGAAGGGAGGCATTCAGGGGCGGCTACGCAACCAAGCATTGCACGCTACTCTCCCGACCCTGAAGGTAACAACGCAAGAAAATGCCAGGCAGCAAGACAGGCAGAACTGACGTAAAAAGATTTCTGTACGCTGTTCCGTAAGAGAGGTGTAAGGAGGTCAGGCATCCCGGCCAAAGCAGCCAAACAGCCCAAGCAGCCAGTCAGCCAGGCAGCAGTCCGGGCTGCTGCTTTCACTCCCTCGCCATTGGGGGCGTCTGCCAGCTCTTCCCCACCCCTCCTCCACCGCCTCATTCTCCTCCTGCCCGCTCAGTTGGTAATCATCATGAAGTGTTTGCGCATTTTCAAAATAATAAATGTATCTTTAAACGTTGCGCTGAATTCGATGCTTTGTTTATTTACTACCTGGCGAAGATTGCACAAAGAAATGAAAGCAACAGAAATCTCAAATGAAATGAAAACGAACTCAACTGAAATAAACTGGGCATGCAGCACGAGGATGGTTCTATGCGGCATAGCTACGACTGATACTTGGCTTAGTAGAATTCACTTCTTTCAATCTATAACACCTAGACCTAAATTTATATTCTAGCCGAAAGACAGATTTGCCATAAAACATAAAATTTGATTTATTACATTCATGTATAAATCTAGAGATTTCAGATTTAAACTGTTTTTCATATATATACATATATATACTCCAACTTTAACAAAAATTTTGTCTTCTATTCTTTAGATTCTTTTCTTAAGTTTATTTTATAGAGCAGTTCTATGCAGAAATCATTTTTAGGCAAGAACTTTTACCTAAGAAACTAAATTATATTAAAATATCTATATATGTATATCCAGTACATTTTCTAGCTTGTAAAGGAAACTTTTGTTAAGAAAATTTTCAATAAAGAGTATATTTTTATGATAACTTAAACATTTAAGCCAATAACAATAAACTAGTTTTGATAGATATCTCATGTATACATTCTTCATCTGAAAATCATCTTTTTGAAAAGTTCATTACAAAGTTAAGAAATTCTTCATCAGAGAGATTGGAAATTTTTCGATTCATGGAAATTCACAAAATGATTAATTCCAGGCCATATGCTGTTATATGCTACGATACATTTAATTATATTTTATTAACACACACACACACACATTCACAATATGAGGGCACGTTTGAGCTGCAGTTCAGCTTGCAAAATAATTTGATGTGATTGAGAGCCCGCATAATTGGCGAAATAGCCGCAATCAATTCAGTTCCATGAATTACTTGGGCCGCTTATCGCCAATTTTGAGAAACATGCGAAAAGGATTCGATGCGAGCCGAGGCATGTTTCAGTTCATCTCTAAAGCTTATCAAACTGTTAAAGTGTACTTTGAAATTGAATTTAATGTCAATTTAATTTGAGCATTCTTTAATTATATGTCGCACTTAGGGCTTGCTGCATCCTGAGTTGCATTCCTTGCTCTGCATTTGACACATATCCCAAAAGCTGAAGTTTTTCACTTGCGTTTGCAGAATTTTCTATTTTCTGTTCTCTCTCTCTTTATACATACATATATATATGTGTATATATAAAACAACAACTATTAAAATTGGTAAATTTTAATGAAAAATCTAGCTGCATGCAAAAGCCACTTCAAAAGGCTGTCAGACATTGTCTCGCCCCCACTTTGGCTCGGACCCCCTGCTTGCAGGCAGCGCCGGTGACATGAATGCTGACAACGTGTCTTAGTTTGCACAAAACGAGCTCTACACACATATATATACATACATATATGTATACATATGTATATAAATGTATATTTCTATATGTAGTCACTGTCAGTGGCAGTCCAGGACATGGTTACGCAGCACGGACACGGATGCTGCCATAAGCTCACACACACAAACACGTTGAGCGTTCAAGGCAGCGCCAGTTGTTGACTCCTTTGCTCTCTTCAGTGTGTGTGTGTGTGTGTCGACACTTTTGCCAGGCTTGTCATGTAAGAGGAATTTTAATTTAATTACGCTGAACAGAGACTGCCGCCAGGTCGCAGCGAGATTGAGGCGCCTGACAAAATAGCATAAAGTGGGAATGCGCATTAATAGATTAGCCAGCTGATAAGAAATCAATATATGTACATACATATATACAAACAAAAACAAAAAAAGTAAAGAAACTGGCATAAATCAGGCGCCCATTTACGGCCTGTCTGCCGATGCTTATCGCGCTGTTGTTACCTAAGCCAGTCACGCCCGCCCCATTGTCGCCCCCCAGCTCATTACCTGCCTCTAGGCGACGACGACAACACAGGCAAATTCAATTTCAATTTATTCATAATTTGAGTTGAAAGAATTTTCGAATTTTTGGCCAACGGCGTCGCGACGACACAAAAATCAATAAGCCAAATTCTTGGCTTCTCTCGCAGCTGGAAAACTTTTTACAGGTAATTTTGCGGTGCTTTGTCATATCAATAGACTTGCTGCTGGCAGATCCTTGTTGGCCTCTCTTCCACTTTGCAACTCTCTCTCTCTCACTCACTCATTCACTCTCCGTCTCTCCGTCTCTCCGTCTTGCTCTCACTGTGGCACAAGGCCGTCTCGAGTTCGTGCCAAAAAATAATTTCCGACTTGCAGACGCGCGGCGACTTTGCTGCACTTATTGTTGTTATCAACGCCTGAAATATGGCATTTTAATTTTATTAGCTGCCTTGCCAGCACACACACACACACATACATACAGAGAGGGGAAACACAACCAATTCGCTGGCGTTGATGGCAATGGCGTTGACAAGGCTGGGCAACTCGGTTGGCACAGTGGAGCAAAGTGATTTTAAAATTGCGATCGAAGTTTGAAATTATTTGATTAGACGTAATGCATATTAAATCAAGTTATGCAATTTATAATAGAAATAATTAATACAACTGAAATTCAAAATTCATGAGGAACATTATATTGAATGATTCTTACTTAAATACATTTTTGTAAGCCTAAAGATATAAACTTAAAGACATTATATTATAATACAATTGGAATTAAAAATTGATGAGGTACATAATCAATAGTAAAAATAATAATATTTTCAAATTTATTATATCGATTATTCCATAAACAAATGCCCAGAATTATATGTATAGAAATATGATAAGAGTAGGAAATATATTTATATAAATAAGTGTTTGTGAGAATATAATTGATAATAAAGGATATAAAAAATCATAAAAATAATAAAATTAATAATAATAATAATAATAATATATAAAAGCTGTAATGGCCAAATAAACTTGATAAATCATTATAAATTATGAAATACGTATATACATATGTATGTACATATATTTAATTATTATAATTGTTATTAATGTCCTTTATTTTATATTACACATGTATACACTTCTATGCTAATTTAAAATATTTTCTTCTTGACAAAATTTGAGTTTATTCATTAAATGTTGACAAAAATAATAAAAATTCTCACTTTCCACTCAAAGCAATAAAATAAATATAATGAAGAGCCTCAACTTCTTGCCGTGCTGTATGCATATTTATGCCCTCAGCTTTCGGCATTCACTCCCATTGGCTTTCATTGTGCGCTCGCTTTGTTTATTGTTTTTATTGAATTGTTCTTGCAACAGCCTGTGGCTGTGGCTGTGGCTGCGGCTGTTGCGGCGGCAGCCAGCTGAGAGTCGCTGTGGCAACTGCGCATGCTGCGCGCGCTGTCTGCGATGGAGTTAAGAGAATATATACTTTGCGGGCGCCCATCGAAGAGCCATCAAGTAACAGTTTAGCGTCTAGAATTAAGTCGTTTAGCAGTGCCCAGGCCAAAACTGATTGCCACTTAAAGTTGCCCCATAATGTTGCAGCTCTCAGCTGGCTGGCTGGCCCCCAAAAACGACGCTCTTAAGCCGCTTCACGGCTATAATTTATGCCTGATATGTTGCTCTTTCAGTTTTTGGCCTGGTTTACGCTTTGCCCTGCTTTTCTTTTGTCATTCTGGACGCACGTTTGCCTTTTGTTAAGTATTTCGTCTGAGCGTTTTTCTGCTCAGCGTCGCTCGTGGAGCGTTTTTTTCTTTCGGCTGGCTCCGACACGGCTACGGAGGCGGCTAGTTGGCAAATTGGCGGCGCTGCGTGCGGGGCAGTCGAAGAGCTTCGAGCGCAATAAACAACGGGCGAAGAAAACGCCAAATTTTCCAGTGCTTAGTGTCATGGAAATCGCCTTTGGCCACAAATTGCCGACGGCAAAAACGCGCTGAGAAATAAAAGTCCCACGCGTAGTAAAAATCAAGCACCCAATTGCTCTGTGTCGATTCGAGTGTATATCCAATTCGTTGTGGCTGCGCGGGTGATCGCGATGCGAAGCTGGCGCCAATGCTGAAGCTGCCAATCTGCAACTGCAACCGCGATCATGTGCCCCACAATGCAAACGAAATTGTTGTGCACAATTATTCTGGAAAAGCGAAAACTGCGCCTGCGAACCAAGCGCAAAAAGTTTCACACCTAACAAGCGGCAGAGCCTCAAGCAAACATCAACATCCTCACGGTTTCAGCTCTGACAGTTGAAGGAAAGCTAACGTTGCCTCAGATACAGGTGAATAGCCACATGATATGCATATATGTATGGCATATGATATACCCAGTATTATTTACTAATACTAAGAGCTTGCAGTCAAACAACTAAATTCAACATCATTTTGTGTTGGACTTCATTAAAGTTTGGCCAACTTTGAACTTTTGGAGTTGTTTGTTTAGCTGCACCAGCTGTCCACAGTGAAAATTTTTACAACTTTTATTTATTTATTTTTGCTTTTATTTTGCACTTGGCCCTGTGAAAGCCATTGACAAACTGTCGAAATATTTTGTTGCCGCCTTAACAATTTATAAAAGCTGCGACTCGTGCAGCTGTAGACCTGGTCGAGTGCATTGCCAAAACTTTTATGATGTTCTTGGCCAAAGAAATGCGTGAGGAAAAATTTGTCCTCTATTTAACAGAGAAATTTATATGCCTCTAACTCTTGTCGAAAAATTATTTTGAAAAATAAAATAATAATAATAATAATTAGTAAAATAAATTGATGAAAAATATTTATATTATAAAATAAATAAATACATTACAAATAATAATTAATCTGTTAAAAAATATATGTATATATCTTAAAAATAATCATAAAAAATATATCATAAAATATATATAATTTTTTATAATAAATTTATTGTTTATGTTTTATTTTTTTATGTTTTGAAATGAAAACTTCATTTAAATATTGTTAAAGCTTTGATTTTGTGTCAGATATTTATTTGAAAATTAGTACTTTTTTTTAAATTTAATTTTATTTAATAAAAACACAAATCCAAAAAAATCACTCATAGATCAACAATCGCAACGATTGGTCGCATTTTCTGCGACTTTCGTGATTTTCCATTTCCACTCATAAATCACAATCTAAAGCATTAATTGTTATATAAATGGCTCGATTGAGAGTCATTTACGTATAATCCAGGTACAAATCGATGCTGAACATTTCGCATTCAATCTAAAAAGAAAACCCCAAAAGCCAAACTGAACAACGCGAAAACCGCAGAGCAGCAGCCGCAATTTTTCGCAGTTCGCAGTTCGCGCGGTTGGCAGTTGGCCACGCGTATTTTATATATTAATTTGCGAACAATCGAGAATCGACATGTGACACGCGTTTTTTAAATTTATGCCCTACGAATTGCATTTACGATTTTTTGCTCATGTTGCCCTGCCTCAGATGTGGTTGTTGTAAATGCATTGCCATTGAATGCAAAATGAGGGACGAGACAGCCCTTCTTCTTCTCTCTGTATGTGTGTGTGTGTGTCACAAATAATAATCGCAACTGAAAGTGCGCTGGGCTATGAGGGGCATCGGGCGGGTAGGGAAGGGGAGAAGGCGACCTGCATATGCGCGCGCAACATATCAAAAACAATTCCAGCTCATCAGCATCATCGTCATCAGGCTTGGCCCGCGGCTATGTCGAACCTTTGCTTGCCTCCTGACTGCTCCTCCCCCTGCGCATCCACACACTTTTTTTTGCTCTTTTTCCACACACACACGCCATAAATCAATGTTCGATTTTCACAACAACAGCGGCAGGGAAATTCGCAAAGCAACGCAGCGAAAACAGAAAAAAGCTGCAAACGAAACAAACGCACGGACAGTGGGACGGACGGAAGGGAACGGCAGGCACCGGCACTGGCACTGGCAAGGACACAGGACATTATGTTCGCGCCATGTTTAAAATTTTTGCTGTTGCTTCCTTTTTGCTATTTTTATTTTCACTTCTTTTTTTTGTGATTTTCAATTCTTGTTTTTGTTGCTTTTCATCTCATGCGTTACACATTTTATTGTTGTAGCCATTGTTGTTGCTGTTGTTGTTGCTGCTGTTTCCTTGCGGCAATGAAATGCATTAAAATTTGTGACATGCGGGGCGCCAGCAGAGCATTTGCCATGCTATATGTAAGCAGGCGAGGAGACAGCACAGACAGACCAGACGGAGAGTACGTGGCGAGCAGGTAAAAATGAAATGCGACAAATGTTACAGATTCCAGATGCCATTCCGGAATCAGAACATTGAATAACTGCGGGCCGATTGTGTTCCATCTCGCCTAACCACACAGAAATGATCTTGCCCAGAGAGCGGAGAGTGGAGTGTTTATCTTGAGAGCATAAAATGGGTTCTGATGAAGGGAAAGTCAGTATTTGCTTTAAATAAATGCAGAAGAAGTGACGATGCTGCAGGCTGGAATTTATTATAGGGCTCTTAAGTTCGATTGTATGATTGATTTAATATGTATAAATACACATATCTCGTGGACTCGTTTGTAGAATTGATTTTTATAGTGTCACGCAATCAAGTTGAAAAATTTAGAATATTATTTTTAACAGAGATGAGCAAGTAATATGTTTTTTTAATATATGTACAATGTGTTATTGAGGAAAAGGAAGATAAATAAATAAATAAAAATATGTATATGTGCTGTGGTTTACAGCTTATATAAACCAGTACCTTTACAAAAGATTGTGGTTTTATGAATCCCAAACTATTTGGTACATACAAAAGAATTTCAACGCAGGTTGTTTAAGCAAATACAAAATAAATACATTTAGTTCTTAGATATTATTTTAATATTCAAAAACATATAAATGAGACCACAACTGTTCCACTTAAAAAAAAATAAAAAAAAAATTATAAAACACCATTATTTTCTGATTTTCCAAATTATGTACAGACTCTGTATTACAGATAACTGTTTTAATTGGCATACAAATTGGTAAAATAAATATATTGTAAACTGTGTTAAGTTAAAAACTTTTATTTAAATGAATAGCAAAAATACTTTAAATTTTTACCATATTCCTTTTTCTTCTTTTTGATTAATATTTGGTTGACACCAAAAACCAATTTTCGTTAAATTATTTATATTAAACAAATAATAATAATATTATAATTTTTAATTTAATATTATAAATTTAAATATATAATTTTAAAATTATAATATGATTATTAAATTAACTTTTTTGTTATAAACTAAATTGTAATAGTTTCGTAATTGTTCTTCTGATTTCGACTCAATATTCAACCAATTCTATCTATTCTTAATCCTGTTTCTACTCACACATTCTAGTCAATATATTCTTAACATGCTAAGCTCTTGGCTTATTAAACTGCAGTTTGTGCAAAGCCTTTTCCTTTTTTTCAAACATTTATTGCTAAGGACAGTCGTTTACAGCTGCCGCAGAGTTAGTAAAACAGTTCAATTAGAAGAAGCCTTCGCTTGGGTCTCGACTTGCAGCTGGAGTTGGAGGTGGGATAGACCCGCTGGGCCTGCGTCTTTGGAAAGGCATTTGGCAAATGAATTCATTTATTTCTTATTGCGATGAATCAGCTGCGACTGGCAATTGCCATTTTATTATGATGGGGGCGGTTCGCAGCGAGAAGGCGTTCTGTGATCGCGACTGCAACTGCTAAGCAAAATATGAAAATCGACAAACGATGCTGCGCCCTCGAACTGCGAGCCGGCTGCGAATTAAGTTGTGAATCGTGTAGTTGACTGCGACTTCGACTGCGACTGTGACTGTGACTGAGAGTGCGAGTGCGATTGCAAGTGGATGGGCCAAAGAGCTTTGGTCTGTGACTCGATGCTGCCCTGCCCGCGGTGATTAATCCATGAACTCTGGACTCCAGCAGATTCGCAACGGCAGATACTCGATGTGCCTGCAACAGATGCAACAGACGCGCCTTCCACCTGGCCCAAGCCAAAGACGCAGATGCAGATGCGGATGCAGACGAGGAGGAAGACGTAGTCAGAGGCCCTATGGCCTGCTTCTCTGAGACGGGGAGCAGGCGATATTTAACCCATGATTACAATGTTTGTAAATTTTGGTGTGTCTTGCACTGGCAGGCAGCGCGTCTCCTGCTGCCCGCCTGCCATCTTGTTTTCACCTTGCGGCCAATTTGTTCGAGAAACTGTTCGGACTCCGCGACTCGACAGCGCGCAAAATGCAGCTAAATTGGCCACAGAAAGAGCAAGTGAGAGAGAGAGAGAGAGGGCGGAAGTTGGAGCAGCGGATGTTTGGGGGCATCATTTGGATGCTCCACTCGCTGGGCTGCCGCACTCGCCTGGTAGTTGAGCAATTTATTATTGCCGCAAATTGATTTTTATCTACGCTTAATCGATTGCTGGGCACGTATGCTCCTAGGCCATGCACATGGAAGGAGGCGCTGCAGTGGATTAAGGAAATTATTTATGTTAGTTCACACGTTGTTTTACACGTAATTTATTAACAGCGTTTTCTAGCGCAAACGAGTCGACCTTGGGGCAAATGGGCATCCATAATGCCGCCGTCTTAGAAAATTGTTGGCAATCGCAGTCGCTGTCGCTGTCGCCGTCGCCAGCGCTGTCGACGTCGCTGTTTGCAGTCTCTGTCGGGTGTGAAGGTGATTTACAATGGGTAGGTGTGCATGCATGATTTGGCCATTTTTCAGCTCGCTTTCGATATTTATGACAGAGAAATGAGCGCCAATTGCCGCAATTACCGGCGCGTGTTTAGCCCGAGGTGATTTTCTGGATCGGCCACAACTGATTTGAGCCAAAATGTGTTAGCCAGGGGATATAGATTGCATAGAGCCATAGACCTGCATGGCATTCCGCTTTGGTGTGCTGGCTGTCGTTAGTGCAGCAGCAACAGATCTTCAGATTGCTCACAAATTATTCCCAAAATTGTCTAAAATATTAATTTGAATTTATTGCAGCTTGTTTTAATATATACTATTTCATCATTTCTGTTTAATCTCTCTGTCTCGCTCTCTCTCAAAATACTCGAGCTCAATTTGTTATTTTTTCCATAATTAATATTCAATAGAAATCTTCACGATATTAACCTGACAATAAATCTATCTCCATTGATTCCCTCTATCAAAATAGATGAAATAGTTGCTTCATTAAAAATTCATATACCATGGACTTCATTCTTAATGATCTCTTTAGACTCGTTGCAAATCCGTTGCTTAAATTGTTAAAGCCTCGAGGCTACGTCTATCGAATATCGACAGCAAAACAGCAACTGCAACAGCAGCAGCAGCCGCAGCAGCAACATAAAAGTAAAGCAATAAAAAAACAAAGAGAGGAAAAAGTCGACATGCACTTTTATCAGAGGGTAATAATTCATTACACACTTTTTGCGGCTCCTCCCCCTGCGGCAGACAAGCCCCGCGCTGCTGCTCCTGCTGCTGTTATTTTACGCCTTAAACCATCAGCAGCGCTGCAGCAGCAGCAGCAGCAGCAGCAGCATCGGATGTGCTGCATTTACCGCATTCGACATGACGCTGCCCCGCAGTCGCCTATCCTGGTGCCCTGCTTCATATGAAAACGCGAACGGGACAGAGAACTGGACTGGTCAGTTGATTGTTTCTTGTAGCTTGCGTGATGGTGGGGCAGAGACAGCGGACGTGGCCGTGCAGGAGCGGGGGCGGGAGCGGTGGGTGCAAGATGTGTTCATCAGCGTTAACATGAGACTGGCAGCTTTTAACGGTTCCACGGCTAACTGTTTGTGATAAGGCCAACACGCATACGCACCTATGTGTGTCTGTGTGTGTGTGTGTGTGTGTCGGGTCCGCGCGCACCTGGAGGGCCTGGCCCGCGGATAAGCCACTCGCCCGGCCAGAGCTCAATTAACTAATTGCACACAAAGGACTGCAATCAAGTTTGGTGGCGCAGCCCAGCGGAATTGTGAATAATATACATTAATTGCGTACCAGTTAACACACACACACACACACACTAACGCGCACTCACACATATGTATATGCGCAGATAGAGAAAAAAAAGGCGCTGCCCGGAATGGGGGTTGGGCCGACATCATCATGTCGCTTGATGGATAAGATTTCATGCGGCTGAAATGGGTCGCAAAAGGACTCGGAACCAAGGAGCGAGTGCAACCAGGCCGCCCGGCAGTCAGGCAGGCAGGCAAACCAAGCGAGCAGCAGGCAGGCAAACCAAGCGCCATAAATCAATGTAACTGTCAACGTCATCGGCATCAGCAGAGCGTCAATATTAGCAGCAGCAGCAGCAGCAGCAGCGGCAACGGCAGCAACAGCGCCGAACAACCCCCGAAGTATGCAGCAGTAATCAGAGCTCTGGCCTAGCCACGCCTATTAACTCATGCGCCCATTCGGCCATCATGCCAGCGAGAAAGAGAGAGATGTATATAAAGGAAGGCAGAGTGAGTAGGAGAATGCCATGCTGTTTAGTTTGGGTTTCATTTTGCATAGGCAACACTTTTTCTAGCGATGACGTCAGCAAACATGCAATAAGTAAATTGTTTCAAATTGTCAACCCACCCACACACACGCACACACACACACGCATTTGTACGCGTATGTCAGCTGCATATGTATGCGTCGCTTCCTCGTTCGCAGCGCACAGCAGACAGACAGGATATTACAAGCTGCTTGCGGGGGAAATTAGATCTTCTAACTGCGTCTTAAACACACACGACAGCCTCTCAGAATCCGAGCCAGACTCAATCCCAAATACACACACACACCCACACATATTCTCTCGCTTTGGCAGGGCTCTGTAAGTGGAATAAGTCAGAGACCACGTCCCCAGAGGCGCCAGCAAATACATGTTGCATTTAATTGGAATGATTCGGTCTGTGAAATATGATTTTAGTTTAAAGTTTTTGAAGAGAGAGAGAGAGAGAGAGAGAGAGAAAGGGTCCATATGACATATAGAAATTCTTGAAATTTCAGGCAGACACAATAAATTAAAAAGTATGATTTAATGAAGGGATCGAACGCAGCACAGCCCAATATAATTGTTTACATAATTATAGCAGTATTCATCTAAGCATATGAAAGGATAAAATTTAAATCAAATAATATGAAGATTCAATTTGTTTAATAATACTACATTTGATAAAAAATAAAATTACTTTAATCAGTTGTAAGTTAAACATTACTATAAGATAAGGTTTTATTTTAAAATATTAATACTATTGAATGGGATCCTAATTGAACTATACATATTTAATATTAATACAAAATACATATTAATTAAATTAAATTATTTTAACTCTTACTTAATAAAAATTTCAAGTCTTGCAAATAGTATTAAAAAAAACATAATATTAATTTTATATTAAATATATATATTTTAAGTGGACTTATATTTTAACTTTTATTTATTAAATTTTAAGAAAATAAATAATAATATAATAATATAATAATAATATAATAATAAATAATTTCAATTACTATAAAATATACATATTATTTTTAAAATTTAAAATATTTAATTACCATATCTGATCCATCGCTCCTCGGCCTAAAATAACTTTTATTGCCCATATAAATTTGTCACCTAACGCCGTTTAGCTAATTAACTAATTCCCGATTCTTTCGCTCTTCTCATTGCAGGTAAGCACGCAAATGGCCATGCACACCTGTTTAGACATTCATGTGGCTCTTGGCTATGTTGGCCAAGCCGGCCAAGTTGGCCTGCTGGCTCTAGATACATTTCAAATACCTTAAATGCGCATGCAGCATTCCTGCAGTCGCCTGTATCTGATTTCTGTCAACATTAAAATTGCAGACTTGACAATGCACAGGAACAAAAGCAGCCAAAGCGACAACAACAACAACAAGAGAGCATCAGCAACAGCAGCAGCTAACTAAGTAACCCACAGATACTCAGAGCGACTGACTGACAAGACACTGGTGACGGGAGAGGAGGAGGAGGAGGAGCAAACACTAAAAGTGAACGATGCTGTTGCTGCTGCTGCTCTTGTTGTTGTTGTTGCTGTTGTTGTTGCTTTGTTAGTGCATGTATCTCAAAGTGTATTCCTAGCGATAACACAAAAGGCTAAAACGCCTCAAACTGGCTGACTGGCCATCTGAAGAGGGCGTGTGACGGGGCGGGGGCAATGCAAGCTGCAAGAGCAAGAGTCAGAGTCGCAGCCATGGCCAGAGCCAGTGAGTGGCAACAGAGATTATAAATTGAAATTGAGTTCATAAAACACGAATCAGCAAAACGTTTAACATCTTTATTTCTGCGAAATGGCACAGACAGCAACCTCAACCTCAACCTCACAGCCGGCAACCGCAAGAGTCGACGTTGCGACTGCATCTCTCTGCCAGCAATGGCAGCAGTTGAAGCCCAAGGTGCGAGTTCGAATGCAATCAAACAAGCGTAAGTCAATTGCACAACTATGCTGAATGCTGGCTGTTGGCTGTTGGCTGTTGGCTGTTCGATGCTTGTTGGTTGGATGCTCTGTATGCCGTATGCCGTATACCGTATGCCTCGATGCTGTTGAGGCACGCTGCCAAACCCAGCCCAGTCCCAGATCCCAAACCGAAACCAACCCAACAGCCCAGCGAATAGACAGACAGATGTACGCGAGTTGCAAGCTGCCAAACAGCCAACGCGTCGCTATGTCGACCGATGCGTCGCATCACCAAACGGTGGGCCACACAGACAGATTATCGAAGTTTTATCAGAGATGCATATATCAATAATTGAAATACTCATTAAACTAATAAAATAAAAATAAAATAATCCAAAATAATATAACAAATTAGTAAATATATGTAGGCATTAAAATAATACAAAAAATAAAATAATAATAATAATAAATAATAAAATAATCAAACATAATTCAACAAAATTTATGCGGTAATTTATGTAATTACAATAAAATGTAACTTACAATAAAATGATAATAATAAAAAATTAAAATAGTAAATTATTAACAATTATAAGTAAAAAATTAGGATAAATTTAAATGAGTTCAAGAAATTAGCGTGTTTGTAAGACGCTTTATAGACAGATTGAATATTGATACAAAATTTATAAAATAGTTGAAAAGTTGAAGCTTATTTATAGTTGACTCCTACAAAAGGAAATGGACATCATTATTTATATATATAATAAAAATATATTTATTTTATAACACTTCAATATATTAGTAAGTCGTCCCACCTATTATAGTTCTTCTCCAAGCGTTTTCTTTTTTGCATATCAATCAAATAGTTTTGGCCCATTGTACAATGCGGCGATGCTGTGAGCACACAGAATGTGGAATGTGCACGCGTTGAATTTCTTGTAGACGTGCGATAAAAATTTGCGACATTGCAACAGTTTGGCGAACGTGCGAGGTGGAGGTGCCTCCGCCTTCCGGCAGTGTGACTCCCCTCCTCCATTGTGGAGCGTTGCCAGCTGGCGTGCAGCGAGGCACTCAATGCCCAAGCTCTTAGCCATAGGCCGCGGCGCACAAAGCAGATGACATGCCGATACTGTTAATCTGCGTGAATAAAAATGTAA